GAGTCTAGCAGGTCAAGACTGCAGTGGGTGTGATTGTGCCACTGCACTCTAGTCTGGGTGACAGAGTGAGACTTCGACTCAAAAATAAAAAAAGCACCTGCTGACCAGGCACAGTGGCTTACACCTATATAATCCCAGCACTTTGGGAGGCCAAGGCAGGAGGATAACTTGAGGCCAGGAATTTGAGACCAGTCTGAGCAACACAGCAAGACTATGTTTCTACAAAAAAATTAAAAAAAATTAGCCAGGCATAGCGGAATGCACCTGCAGTCCTAGCTACTCAAGAAGCTAAAACAGGAGGATCATTTGAGCCTAGGAGGTCGAGGCTACAGTGAGCTATGATCATGCCACTGTACTCCAGCCTGGGTAACAGAGCAAGACTCTGTCTAAATAAATAAAATAAAATAAAATACAAAGAACTTGCTGAAGGATACATACAGTATTGTTAAAGGCTGAAAAGAGACCATTTTGTTTATATTAGAACTGTCATTTAGAATGTCTAAAAACGTGTATTCTTAGCTGGGCGTGGTGGCTCACGTCTGTAATCTCAGAACTTTGGGAGGTGGAGGCAAGAGGATTACCTATGTTCAGGGGTTCGAGACCAACCTGAGCAACATGGCAAGACCTTGTCTCTACAATAAGTCAAAAAATCACCTGGGCATGGTAGCGCATGCCTGTGGTTCCAGCTACTTGGAAAGCTGAGGCAGAAGGATCACCTGAGCCCAGCAGGTCAAGACTGCAGTGGCCATGAGTATGCCACTGGTCTCCAGCCTAAGTGACAGAGTGAGACTCCAACTGAAAAAAACAGAACAAACAAACAAACAAAAAACGTGCATTCTTTTGTAGCTGAGTTGGGTAGAACATAAAAGCTGCTTGGATTCAAAAGTGCACATTTTTCCTATTCACACCCTCCCTTCTCTCCTAGCACAGCTTTGCCTGACTGGCCTGTCTTATCTTGTAAGCCACTGCAGGTGCTAAAGAAGAAACAGCCAGGCAAGCCAGACCACCTAATAATTAGGAGAGTGAACTCAGGCTGACGGGGCTATATCTGAAAGCTTGGAGTGGGCATTGCCCACCTCTCCCTCATCTGTGAATACTAGGACATTGGACTGTGAATACCAGGACATAGGCCAGGGCTCTGGGAATAAAAAACAGTGACAATAATGTTTTCCCTTTGGTCCAGATATTGCAATTGTCTGGTTCTTCCTCTAAAAAACTGTAAAAGAACTGTTTGTAAACTATAAAATGTTATCTAAAATGTCAATGTGACATTGTGTCACATCAGTAGTCATGTAAAATTGTTCATGTAAATCTTGAGTCATGCTACAATTGCAGGTAGGCTTCAAACTTGGGGTGGGCAAAGGGCCACAAGTTTTGAGTATAAATATTGGAATGAAATTGTGTTGCTTGGAGCAGGTTTTTTTGGTAATGATGATGACTCACCTCCCTGGAACCTGGTTATAGAAATTAAACACTCCCAGTTGGGTGCGGTGGCTCACACCTGTAATCCCAGCACTTTGGGAGGCAGAGGTAAGAGGATTGCCTGAGCCCACGGGTTCAAGACCAGCCTGGGTAACTTGGTGAGAACTCATCTCTATAACAAATCAAAAAAATTAGCTGGGCATGGTGGCACGTGCCTATAGTTCCAGTTACTTGGAAGGTTGAGGTGGAAGGATTGCCTGAGCCCAGCAGGCTGAGGCTGTGGGAGCCATAAGCGTGCCACTGCACTCCAGCCTGGGTGACAGAGTAAGACTCCAACTCAAAAAAAAAGAAAGAAATTAAACACTCCCTTTTCTCCCAGTCTCTGCCTCTCCTATTTTAATTGGCCATGAGAAATAGCAGCCTATTTATTGGATTGGGCCGTAACAGTATGATACCATGTAAGTAGTTTTAAAACATACAAAATTATACTATATATTTTTTACATAGCTAAAGTAAAAAAAATTAAAACACATGGGAATGATAAAAGCAAAGATCATTGTACAAGTTACCTCTAAGAAAGAAGCGAGAAGAACTATTACATGTAGAATGATCACCTCTCAAGCAGATGGTGAAAACATAGGGAGTCATTATACTATTCACTATACTTTTTTGGTATGGTTGAAATACAGCATAAGTAAAAGGAAAGAAGGTTGGATAGAGACAGTAGATATTAAAGAGGGAGACACCATAAGACCAGATGAAGAACTGGTTTCTTTTTTCTTTACTTTTTTTTCCTGAGTCAGAGTCTTTGCCACCCAGGCTGGAGTACAGTAACACAATCACAGATCACTACAGGTTCAACCATCTGGGCTCAGGTGAGCCTTCCACCTCAGCCTCCCAAGTATCTGGAACTACAGGCATGTGCTACCACACCTGGCTAATTTTTAAATTTTTTTGTAGAGACAAGGTCTCACTATGTTGCCCAGGCTGGTCTCAAACTCCTGGGCTCAAGCAATCCTCCCACCTTAGCCTTCCAAAGTCCTAGGATTAAAGGTTGACTTAGATTTCAAGCGCAGAAAACTGCAAGAACACTGATGCCCTAGCTAGGAAATTATGATGATGAAGCAGCTTACAAAATATAAAGTGTTGAGATTTAAACAATACTGAGCTTGGGAAACAGAGAAAATTGCTTGGTGACAACAATCTCAGAGAACTGCACATAAATATAGGGATGGTGTTTGAGAAGTTATGCCCAGAAATGATATTTTAGAACTCACCAAATAAAAATGGAAGATTTAGCTGGGCTCAGTGGCTCAGCCTGTAATCCCGCACCTTTGGGAGGCTAAGGTGAATGGATTGCCTAAGCCCGCGGGTTTGAGACCCGCCTGGGCAGGCGAGACCTCAACTCTACAATAAATCAAAA